TATGTACCTAGTATTTTATAAATTTAATAAAGATCATGCAAAACTGCCGCACTTCAAAAAAAAAAAAAAAAAAAAAATTCACCAGGATATCCTTCAAGATATGGGCTTTAAAATAAATATAAGATCATATTTCTAGCATTTGTGATTGATGAGTTATAGCTATTCAAAGGTAACCAATTACACTTATATTTCTTTTGATAGTCACTATATGTAGGTTATTGTTAATATTATTGTTTAAATTGTTGAATCAGATTTCTCAGTTGTTTTAGTTGTTTCAAAAGGTAGTTTAGAAGTTATCTCAGAAATTTGATATAACTGATATAAAGAATCTAATGCAAATTCACGAGTTAATATAAATGCATTGTAAATATTTTGTCTAACCGTAATAGATGATTTTCTAAACTCAGCATTGTATCAAATACTAAAAATAAGATTTGATCTACTGTGTCAGATAATCCAATATAAAGATAAGTATAATTTAATTCTTCAATATATTGTTGAGTATATCTAGTAAATATTGTTGCAACATATTCAGTAGTATATCAATTTTAAAAGTGTTAAAAACGCTTAAAAGTAACAAATTCAGAAGGATAACAAAATAGTAAGATCTGTTGCAATGCTACGTAACTATATTATTTTGATATGCAATCTATTATGCTTTTGATTCAACAAATAATGTTCATCAAACATGAACAATTTAAACAAATTTTAAAAACTTTTTTGGTAAAAGGCACTAAATATTACAGTTAATTTGTTAAAATACTTATGAATAATAAGTGAAACAATATTTATGAGTAGTAAGTAAAAGGTTTAATTTGATAATTAGATATAAAAGAGTGTCAGTAAATTAACAGTTTATTTAATAACTATAATAATAGAGTATTGCTTTAGTTAGCGTTCTGTATTATACAATTATATTAAGAGAATTAAACTAAACTATTTAATAAAAATATAAGTTAGACACACTGTCAAGCTAAACAAAATTGTCTTCTATTTATATAAAATGAAAAATATAAAGTTATCAAAGATATATAATAAATAAAATATATGAAATAAATAAAATATAATAAATATATGAGATAAATAAAATAAAATAAATAAAAAAATATACTGTATAAAAGAAATATATATTATAAATGACATAGATAACATAGATGACATATATGATTTCCTAGGGATTGATGTCATCCTTTAGATCATTATCATTCATGTCTTCTTTTATATAATAATAGTAAAAAAATTAGCCAATTTTCTGCATATTTTAAGTAGATAATAATATAAATATATAAATAATAATATAAATTAAATATTATAATATAATTTAAACTATTTATAATTATATAAATTATAAATTTTTTTAAAATTTGTTATAGTGTAAACGGTTTAGTCGCATTAAATGACTAAGTTACCGCTGAAATTTATGTTGATCATTTCTATATTCAATTCATAATTTCATTAGTTAAAACTCTATCACGTGATCAATTTTGATCACAGATAAAGATGATCACCGCAATTGAAAAAAATGGCGCAATTGAGTTGCAACTTGTGGCGCAATTAAATTTCCTTATAGCGCAATTAAGTTGCAACTCAATTAAAATTTGAAAATAATTATGGGGACCATCTTTAATCACAGAAAATCATTAATATTGTATTATTTCATGTTATTTCACAACAGTTTTTTTTAACTTTTCTTATTTTCGCTTAACAGGATTATAATACCAAAAGTAAACAAATGTACTAGATAGTCTCAAGAAGCCATTAAAAAGTGTTAGAAGCAAACAGAAGATTCTGAAGAGATAATAATTAAATTATTAGATGCTGAACCTGATAAGTTTGATGAATCATTATTTAACACATTTTGGATAGAAGGTGAGGAAACGTGCTTTGATAATGATGAAATTACAGATGGAATAAAAGCATTGCAATTAAATATACTAGAACAACTAGTTGAAAATGCAAAAAATCTTATGTATAGAATGTAAATGTACATAAGCCAGTATATAATAGTATTGCATAATTAACATTATGTAACAAAAGAGCATATTGGAAAAAAGTAGCTTCAGATTCTAAGAAGATTACTAAAATATTTTTAATAAATAAAGATAAGTCCGCTAAACCTAATATAGATCTTATATTTGAAGACACATATGATAGCAAATATGATGATGAAGATTTTACCTTAGAATCTTTAGATTTATTATTAAAAAAAAAGATGATTTGCAGCTTCTAATAGTAAGTCAATTTCTCTATCTAGTCCAAGACTAAGGATTCACAAAAATAGATGCAAGTAATCTTTCTGCCTAAAGCTTAAATAAAGGTTTGTGATAAATACAGCTTATTCATTCCTGAGCAAATCAATAGCTTAGCAATAGTACAATTATTTTATCTAAATGTAGCTGTCATGCAAAGATTAGGTCTCTGTTGCTTTATGAGAATCTTAAGTTACAAGTTATTAAATATTTACGTGCATATAAGTTCAAATTAAATATTGTTGATTTTGTAAAATTCATTGAGATTATTCCTGCTTTTGGAATAGAAGAAAAGATAAAGATTTCATGCTTAACTGTACATTAATAGCTATATATTCTTGGCTGGAAATATAAAGACCACTTAAAAATATTTATTTTGATGGTCATAAATGTGAAGATGTGGTAGCAGATAGGCAACGATTTGTGCAGTGATGAGTAAAATTGCGAAAACAAATAACTACTTATGAGAGTAAAAATTTAGAACAGATTATCTTATCTATACTTCCCCATGATGTTTCTGAAATCGTTCTCATTACTCACAATAAATCGATCTTTTACTCAAATAATGATGTTATTAAGGCTTAAGGTTTAGCAGATGAAAGTCAACTTCATCACAAATCATAAGGCCTTTGCATTCATATAAGTGACTTTCTCTGTGAGTTTATCAGAAGACTCTAACTTTCAAATGAAAAAAATGTCATTAATAATTCACTTTCTGATAGTAATGGTTTGTATATATTAAAGCTTGCATTCTAATATATCCTAATACAAATCGTGATAGCTGGTAGACAAACAAAGATGTTGTTAAACAGGTAAAAAAATAGGCAATTCCAATATTTGAAAATACTCACCTAGGAAAAGTTGCATTAATTTTGTTCGATAATAGTTGCAACTATAATGCATTTTCTGATAATGTATTAGTAGTTTCAAGAATGAATATGAAGGATGGTGGAAAGTAACCACTTTTTCGTGTCAATAAAATGCTTAACAGTTCATCTCATATTATAATATTTGTGAATGTTGATAGAACAGTAAAACCCAAAGGTATATGATGAGTTCTTAAGAAATGTGGTTTGTGAATACTGGGTTTGAGAAGAAAATATAATGCATATATATAATATAATCCTGATTCAAATAAACTGAACTGTTATGCATCACGCATTCTTTTTGCTTAACTTGACTTTATATCATAAAAGATATATCTACAAGTGGCAAGTTACAATTAATTTATATATTTCAATATTATAATATAACTAAAAAAATACTTATTTTTTAGGTTATTTGAAATTGCAGAACATATGTGCATGTTCTATTCAAAATTCCACTGCAAGCTTAACTACATTGAGTCCTTTTAGGCAGAGGCAAAGTGGTACTCACGTTTTAACTGCAATTACTCATTCAATAATCTCAAGAAAGTTGTATTGCATGCATTAGATTTCATTAGCCTAACTAAAATTCGCTAGTTTTTACGTCATTCTGCATATTACATAAGTGCTTACGAACTTAGACTCTCAGGTAAGGCAGCTGTCTTTGCTATTAAATGCTATCGATCCTATTATCAGATTTCTGAAAATGTTTTAAAAGAATTCAGAGATGTATAAATAAAATTTTTGAGTTATGATTAGCCAATCATATGCTGTCATATAGTTTTATACGCACTAATCATGTTCTTTCTCATTATTTTATGGCGCTGAAAATTCTACTATTACTATTAAAATTGACGCTACAAAATTTTTAACTACGAAAAATTTTTACAATAAAATTAAAAAAAATACATTGCATTAAAAACCATATTAAGAGTTATCAAATAATGTATTTTTTTTTTTAATATTTTTATAATTAAATAAAATTTCTTTACATTTTAAAGTTACTAATAAATATTGGATGTAACTAAGCCATTTACACTATATATTAGTTTATATTTAAATTTATTATTAATATTTTTTTTATAAATAAATATAAATTAAATATTATTTTGAAATTATAATTTATTATAAATAATAATAAGTATTAAATAAGATATCTATAGAATAAAATAATATTATAATAATCAATTGTAATTTAAAGTATTTAAAACTTATTTAGACTATTAAAATAAAATTTTAATATCAAAAAAAGGTTATAAATAATAAAATTGATTTTTAATATAAAATTATTGTTTTATTATACTATTTTAAGAACAAAAAAGAAATGAAATAAATCTAAATTGAAAATTTTAAAAAGAAATATATTTCTTTCTTTATAACAGAAAAACAATACATTAACATATATAGGTATACATATTTGTTAATAGAGAATCTAGAATTGATATTGCTTAAAGTTTATACAAGTTAGCAAAGAAAAAATATAAATGATTAAATGTATTAGCCAATCAAATTGTAAGGAAATTGAAATACAAGATTTATGGCCCGAAACATCGGATTAATCACATGCTTTATTAATCAATGACGCAAGCAGTCTTACGATACACAGAACACGTAAGATTTTCGATTTCATATAAATACTATTGCTCCCGAAAAAATTGGGTTTAAAAAAAAGTATTGGTCTTAGAAATAGTTCTGATCGAAAAATACTAAGCGAGAAATTTTTACGGCCGTTAAAATGAAGATTACGATTAAGACTTTGCAACAAAAACAATTTCAATTAGATATTGACACAAGCGAATCTGTAAGAAAAATGAATTTTAAAATTTTATAGTTGGCAAGTTTTATTGACATTTCATTTAATACATATTGTAGATCCTTCAGGTAAAGCAAAGAATTGAAGAAACTCAAGGACATGCTGTATCCTTTCAAAAGCTCATCTCAAAAGGTATGACCGTTACGAGTAGTATGTGTTTAATTTATCTTAATTTAACTACATAATTTTGTTGTTTAGGAAAAATTCTAAATGATGATAAGCAAGTATCTGAATATTCCATTTCAGAGAATGATTTTTTGGTATTAATGGTTTCTAAAGTATGTTAGAATTAATGGATTTTTATAATTCTAATTCGTGTTTTCAAATAAGTCACCGTAGCATTTTAACAGTATATGTATTTTTACAGCCAAAGCAATCAACCGCACCTTCGAACAGTGCCGCAGCTTCCGAAGTTGCCTCGAAGACAAATACTGAGGCAACTGCTACAAGTTCCTCTGTTCCTGCAGCGATACCTGCACCTGTTGCTAGTGCTCCTTTGATAACTTCGAGTACCTCGACTACTACACAAGATACTATAACAACCACAAATGTACCACCTACCACACAACCTATACAACCTTCTTCAACATCATTATGGGATAACGCTAGTGCTTTAGGTATGAAATAATTATGAGCGAATTTGGTTTGATGATCTCTATATTTAACAATAAATTTTTTAGTTACTGGAACTGACTATGAAAATGCCGTTAACAATATTATGGAGATGGGTTTTGATCGGGATCAGGTTGCTAAAGCCATGCGTGCCAGTTTTAATAATCCGGATAGAGCTGTTGAATACCTTATGACCGTATGTGATAAAGTTTTTTGTTAGTATTGCAGTGATAAAATGAAAGTATTTTTAATTTATTTTATAATTTAGAGTATTCCTGATGAGCCAACCGTTACAGAGCCAGCAGCAACTCAACCCACTCAGCAAGTACCTAATCCTGGGGTAACTCCAACTACAACAGGTAGATTTTAATTTATCTCAATTTTAAAACTATCAAAAAGTTCCATTTAACATATATTTCCCATATAGCACAACCACAAAATCTGTTTCGAGCCGCGGCAGCACTAGCTGCATCACAGCGACAGCAACAGCAGCAACAACAAGGAGGGAGTGCTGATGAATTAGCTGGCTTGAGAAGTCAACCACTATTTCAACAATTGCGACAGATTGTTCAACAAAATCCATCAATGTTGCAACCATTGCTTCAGCAACTCGGGCAATCAAATCCTCAATTCTTGCAGGTAAATTTAAAAGAATAATAAAGTTCTTGTAAATTTAAATATCTGATACGCATAGAAAGCTAATCCAAATATTAACTACGAATGTTAGCTTATTAATTCCAATCCTGAATACTTCATGCGCCTTTTGCAAGAAGGAGAAGAAGCAGGTGAGGGAAACCTTCCACCTCCACAATATGTTTCGGTTACACAAGAAGAAAAGGAGGCAATCGATAGGGTAAAAATTAAATATTTAATAAATGTGATAATATATATAGATTAATTGTAATAACTAGATTTATATATTATTTGTTCTGTAGCTGGAAGCCCTAGGATTTGAACGCGCTCTTGCTATCGAGGCTTTTCTTGCTTGTGATCGTAATGAAGAAATGGCAGCAAACTATCTTTTCGATCATATGAATGAAGAAGATTAAATGACACATTTATTTAACTTTTTATTTGTTCATGAAATTGTAACAACTGAATGTGGTAACGATGGTTTCATCAACTCAATTAATACCTTATTTTATTTGTTTTTGTTAGTTTTTTTTAAATTTATTGAATACATATAGGCGGGGACTAGGGATGAGTCTGTATAGATATTTGGTTCTGTATATGAAAAATGGTTTTAGTTATTTTAATAATTGAGGGACAGTATATATCATTTCTTTAAATTTCATTTATTTTTATGATTTGGCAATGTTAGATTTAGCATAATCATATCCTTAGTCGAAAATTTATATTTTAAATCAATATGCTAAATAAACCCTTTTTTTTTGAAAGTTATATAAAAAAATTCAAGCTTTTCGGATATTATATTTTACCGATTTACGCCACCTCTTCAAATTTAAAACATCCGTTAAAATATCCGATGATTAATATAAATTGAGTATTAATTTGAAACGGTTTTCGACGTATTCAAAATTTTCAGTCCTTTCGAAAAAAGAAAGAAAGAAAAAACACTTTTATTATATTTTTGCTGGTTTGGAACTTGACGAACAGTTTGCTAGATTGACTATTATTGACAGAAAAACCGAAGCTTTTACTTCGGCCAGACTTTCTATAATTTCTGTCCATTTAATCACTCCTTTTACCAGCTTCCTTCATTACGAACAAACAGAATAAAAGTACCAAAAGATTCAATAATGCAAGCAGCGAATTCTCGAAGAAGGAATATGCAACTGAGACTGCCAGCAAATTCACCAAGTCCATTTTCCAACTTTTCGAGATTTGTGTTAGTAATACCTTTCAAATAGTATTTTATAAAAAATTAGTACTGAGATTATTTTAATGCTTATTATCGTTATTTAGCGACCCTTCCGGCAAGCTTAATTTTAGTGGCAAGGCTGTTTTACATGCTCAAGGAGTTGATTTCAGTAGTGGTATCAGTTATAAAATCAATAAAGAAGAGTTGGTGTTATTGGAAGAACTCGGAAAGGGTCAATATGGTACGGTACAAAAGGTATTCCACAAGCCCACTAATGTAACCATGGCAATGAAGGTTGGCTTATATTATTATTAATAATATTATTATTCGCTTTTCCAAAAAGAATTTCGAATAATTTTATTTTATTGTTTCTTTCTTTTAGGAAATTCGTCTCGAACTTGATGAAACTAAATTAAATCAAATTTTAATGGAGCTGAATATTCTCCATAAATCTCAAAGCACTTATATTGTTGACTTTTATGGCGCTTTCTTCATTGAATCTTGCGTTTATTATTGTATGGAATATATGGATGCAGGATCGTTGGATAAATTATATGGAGAAGGTGTTCCTGAAAACGTTCTCGCCAAAATCACAATTGCGGTATGTATATTTTAAATAGTTTATATTAAATTTTTTAATAAGCATTTATACAATATTTATTTTTTATACTGACTAGATGGTAAAAGGACTTAAATTTCTGAAAGATGAATTAAACATTATACATCGTGGTATTTATTTTATAGAAATATAATTCAATTAATTGTTCTATATATAGATATACCCGTTCATTATTTTTATTTTTAGATGTGAAACCTACAAACGTTCTTGTAAATAGAGAAGGAGAAGTTAAACTTTGTGATTTTGGAGTTTCCGGTCAACTGATACAATCACTTGCAAGGACCCATGTCGGATGTCAAAGTTATATGGCGGTATATAATTTAACCATCATAAATTAAAATAATAATAATATATATACGTATTTTTTTCCTTTAATATTAATTATTAAATTTATACTTTACAGCCAGAAAGAATACAGACAGATACATATACAGTTCAATCAGACATTTGGTCACTTGGACTTTCCATGCTTGAACTTGGCACCGGTAAATATCCCTATCCCATTCCGGATAAAAAAATTGGCATGTTTGCCCAACTAAGTGCCATTGTTGACGGAGTTCCTCCTGTTTTGCCCGAAGGTAGATTTTCTGCAGAATGTCGCGATTTTGTAGCACAATGGTAAGGATTCACATGACGATTATCATTATTTTACAAATAATTTAAATGAACCCTTTTATTAATTAGCTTGAATAAAAATCCTCAAAATCGACCTACTTATGCTCAATTGCTGGTAAGGATTTTTAAAATGAAGATTTAATCTATTAAAATACGATTTATCAATTAATTTATTTTAGGAGCATCCATTTTTCGAGAAATATGAAGAGGCCGACGTTGATATGAAATCATGGGCCGAACAAGCGTATTCGTCACGAAAAGATCTGTTAAAGCAAACATAGTTGTATTATATTGTAAACAAGTTATTTCTTAGGGGTTTGAAACCTGTTGCATACATTTGATTTACAAAAACTGGAATTTTTTGGTAACGAGAATAAAGATAGGAAAATGCCAATTTGGTGGAGTCAAAAAGTTAATATGATGGGTAATTAGTGAGAAATATCATATTTATTATTATTTTAACTTTTCAGGTTTGATATTTCTTGCTTCATTCCTTTTTGTATATCTCTTTAAATATTCTACTGGTAATCTCATAGGATCTGATATGAAAATTCTTTTCATGTATAATGATTTAAATTCCATCAAAACAATTATACCTTGACTTAATTTGTTTGTTATGATTATTAATGCCAGATATTTAATATAAATGGAACATTGTTTGTAGATTGAATATTTGCTTCAGTTAAATAAAGAAATTTACATTAGAAAAATTGAAAATACTAGTTAATAACAATTCTAAGCTAGCTATTATAATAAATTATTGTTTATTATTATATTTATGAAATCAGCACATTGTTAAACATGATTGTTAAAAATAAACAAGGTATTCGTATTTCTAAAAATTATATTTTACTTTTTTTTTTGTAATTGTTTAATATAAGTTATCAATGCTCTTTTTAATGTCAGTGATTAAGGAGAGCATACATCAATAGTAGTTAAGTAGTATATGAAAACGCTGCATAAAAATGGTCCCATCAATCACAATGAAGAGATTTATTAAAATGTGATTTTGAACCTCCGAAAGGAAATATAAATTTGTTAAAAATATCAAAATCCACATTAAAATGATTTTTAATTATACTTTCCAATTTATTCCCGTCGATTAACGCCTACTTCCTAGTAAAAGTAAACTTATTCTCTTATGCTTCATTTGATTTCTTTCACACTAGCTCTTACCCAAAAATAAATTTTTACTTGCATGTGCGTCGTACCCATTGTTCAGGTAACTTACTATATATCAAAAGTTTGATTACCAATCCTAAGAAATCCCTTTTAATATTGCTCCTTTTCTCCTTTGAAGTCGACTTTATCAAATATCTTCCTCTTTATTAAAATTTCGTGAAAACGCGTTAAAAAAGTTACTCAACTCTTGCCAACTTTTACGACGCATATAATCTTTTGTCTTTTATAGATCTTGAAAAAGTTCACCCTTAACAAAAATGTATCCTACAGACTCTCCTGAGAGAAGTAAAAAAATTTAAATAAATATATTAGAGTGTTCTTTCACGGTAAAAATTTTCCTTCTTTTCGAATTAAATTTTGTCTTATTTTCAGGTGGACAAAATCACTTTACAAACGATACTGGAGACGAAAAGACTCATAATTCTAGTGCTCTTTCTTATAACGATAATGCAACTAATCCAACTGTATACACAAATACGTTTATGACTTCTTTTAACGACAATGAACGATTCTATTCAAGAGTTGTTGGTCAAGTCTACTCTAGAGAAATGGTAACAATTTATGGTAATCCTCCAGCAAATTTTTGGGTGAGTTGTGTCACCAATAACAAATCCTTGCAGAGGATTCCATTCTTGGTTCAATTCCTTGTGGTTTTAATACACAGTTAACTTGAGAGCTGTCAACGTTGACATTTTTGACGTGTTTTACTATCGACATTTCCAAATTTGATGATCTGCATTACGGATCGACAAATTATTGTTTTTTATTTTTTTTTTTTGTCAAATTAAAATTACTAATATTGTAAATTACTTTAATTTTTTTTATGAAAGAATCCAAGTCCAGTCGTTGGCAAGTGTTATTTTTGTAATTCTGCTATAAATCCGCAAGATATCGATACGATTACTTGCAACTCGGCAAATTGCAATATTTATTCCCATATTGGTAGGTTGTATACAGGACAACAAATATGCAGTATAACAATTAACTTTAAGGAATTCCTTATCGAGTTGACAATGCACTTAATAGTTGTAGTTTAGTGATTTGTTATTAAATAATCGTATTGTTTCCCGTTTAATGTTTTTCAGGGTGCTTAATGAAAAGTGGACTTCATGATTTCAATAAATCATGGCACTGTCCAAAATGTATGCCACCACGTGTAAGTCATAAACCCAGATCCTCATTTTGCTTGCTTTCTTCTCAACTCTTACTTTAAAACATTATAACCAATTATTTTATAGCCTCCCATAAGACAAATGGAATCATTAAAAGACGATAATATTGAAGCAAATCAACCTCCACCGGTAAATCCTTTGCATTTGCTATTGGAAGCATCGGACCAAATAGTAAATATCGAACTTTATTTTTCTCATCATTTTTTTTTATTCAATAAAAATTCATTAATATTTTTTTTTTTTTTTGTAGCAATCAGGTTCTAGGACTCAAATTACCCATATAAACGACATCAATGAACCGTCTTTTACACCTTTAGTGAATTCATCTACGCAGCTTATTGAAAATAATGGTATTTCAACACGACCAAAACTTATGACTCCCGAAGAATTTATTTTTCAGCCTATTCATGGTGACTATTCGGATGTTAACAATACTAATAATGATGAAAATGAAAAAGCAGATATTGAAGAAATTTTACCCTCAAAATTTGAAATTCAATACGCTTTATACGAAGAAGGTTAATAAACCGGTTATTTTATATATATATATATATATATTAGATATTTATTTTTAATACCAACAACTTCATTATTTATAGAGCGAAATAATACTATACGCAATCTTGAAAGAACACGTACACGACAAAATCAGGTTACCAATGCGCTTAAAGAATCAGTTGCTAGACTCTCACGGGAACACGATAAACAACTCGAAAGATACGAATCCTTAGAAAAAGATAACGAAAAACTTAATAATGCTTTATATAAATTAAAACTTGCGCTTATTCCATTGGCTCAAGAAAGACACGTGTTACAAATCTTACGTAAACAGAATGAAGATTTGCATGAACAGGATATCGGTCAAGACAACGTTTTGCAATTATTCTTGAAGATCGGTACCACCTCAAAACCTTCTAATGCAATTGCTTCTACTTCAAATATACATAATTTACCTACAATTGGTTCTTCATTATATGAAAGATGCCAGAAATGTTCAAAGATTGGTGGACATTTAGTTTCTTGTGTGAATTGCCATATTATTCAACATATTGCTTGTTGTAGTAAAGGAGAGAAACCTTCCATGGAAACGATAGACATTCGATGGCAGTGTATTAATTGCAGAAATGCTAATCCAAAACGTAAAAATTATACGGATAACACAGACATAAAAGTCGTCCCATCGAGTTTACTTGGTGGATATAAACGCATTAAAGTATGTAATCCGACTAAAGAAAACGGCACAAAATCAAGAAATAATTCACCTTTAGATAGTATTAGTACTCAAAATCTTGATAATGGTTGTGACGAAGGAGTTTTATCGCCACAACTTACTCCTCATAAAGCAGAAACAAATGAGGGAAATACAATAACCATGGAAGTAAAAATTAAGGATCAGCAAGAGTCTACCGATTTGACGCTCCCAAATACTCCCAAGTCAGAAGATAATGAAAGCGATGATAGCAGTTTTACTGGAAATGGTTCGGAAATGGAAATTGAAATTGAAAATAATCAAGACAAATTAAAACTTGGGCATTTAGATCGAGCTCCCCCATCAGATAATGGCCCGGAAGCAACTAGACAACCAGCGCGTTTTGACGGGGATATGTGAGTTTTTTTTTTTTTTTTTTTTTTTTTTTTAATTGATGCATATATAAAATTTTTATAATCAATCTCATTTGGATCAGGTATACTCCTCGGTGGGTACGTGGAGTTGGTAAGTCAAAGGAAGGACTTTGTCCTCATTGTGAGCCTGTGCGATGGCTTAAAACTAAGATTTCAGCTTATTGGTAAGATATAATTTTCATGAATTATCATTTGTTATTTCAAGTTGATATGTATGTGATATATATATATTTTAGGTATCATCTCAATTATCAACATGGGATTTCTTCTATTACTGGAAGACCATTTACACAACCTACTTCAGAAAGAGTTAATAAAAAAACTGGTATGAAAGAAGCGCTTTGTCACAAGTGTAATAAATGGATTTTAAATCAATCACCACGTGACAAGGATGTTTTAGTCCCCGAGATTTATTGGTAAGTGGATTTTTACAGTAATATACCAATCTATATATAAAACAAATGGGATTTATTTTCGATATTTTATTATTTAAAATAAGGTATAAGCATGCGCAAAAGTGCCATCACACTGGTTCTTAAGGGAATTGTAGACGATGTTTAATTAAATGAGGAAAGATATTGAAAGTGAAATCTAAATTCAACTTTAGTTAAATACTATTCGGATATAATCTAGGGTTTTGTTTTTTCATGAATTTTAGGAATATTAATACATTCTAATTAGACTAGGAAAAATTATTACAATTGTTGGCTAAAAGTATCAAACTTTTGTATTTCTGAATAAATAAAATATCTATTATTTGAACCACATTTCATTTTGGGACAACAAAATAGAACGATATCGATACTTCTAACTTTTTTGATTATTAATAAGCTCCGTATAATAAGGATAATTGGTGTTTTCATTTCCTTTCATAAATTCGATAAATTAGACTTTTTTTTTCTATTATTTGCTATAAATGTTAATAGATACAAATAATGTAATTTCTAAAAAGAATTGTAAAACCAACTAGTCAGTATTCATTCCTTACTCTATTAAGATAGAGTTGTATAAATTGGTCTAATAAAATGTCGGAAATAGGATAGCAAAGCTCCCATATATGACCATATATTGGTCATGCTTGTTTTCTATAAACTCATTCTTAGTTTATTTTCGTTGGGGAAGGTTCTTTTAATATCACACTTAAGTTTAACCTTTACTGTCCAACTGAAAATCATAAATCTATAATTATGTCTCGAAAAAAAGGAGGGAGCTACTTCCCACCGACGAATAATTCCAATAATGAAATTACTATGGCTCGACCTCTGACAAACAGTTCGAGCTTGTCCGCTACCCGATGGATTCATTTAGAGCGGGTGAATTTTTGATGTGTCGATATGACAATTGGATAATAGCTGTAAACTTCCCCAGGTTCACCATCAAAATTTGTCATTTAGTAGCCCTGTTCCATTTTGATCTGATCCGATTGTCAAAAAATCCAATAGCCAATAAAAATCATTTGAAGATCAGGTCAAATAAACGAATCAACAGATCAAAAAATTTGATGATCCGAATGTATGTTTAAAAAAAAACGCGTTCGTGTTCATTTAAAAAAAAAAAATGATTTCACAAAATTTAAAAAATATTGAATCAAAATGTGATCCAAAAACTAAAACACGGTTGAAACCTATTCCTATACTTCCAAAACCAATTACATTGGAAACTTCAAATATGTTTTCTCTCGAGTTTAAAGAAGTAATTTATCTAGAGGTTTGTACTTATATTTTTTTCTCTAATGTTAATTTATTCAATTTAATTATAAAATATTCAGATGCAAATATTATAACTATACAAGCAGAATCACAAAAATTTGAAGATTTTTCTTTAGTAAGCTTTATATAAAATAATTGTCTAGAATTTTATTATATATATAATATTTATTTAATTTATTTCCTTACATATTCAACCATCAGTTAAAACTAATAAACACAAAAAAAAGTTTTTAAAAAATGAAATAAATCCAAGGAAGCTAATACCAAATGGACAGATATAGAAATTAAAAATTTACTTGAATTTTGGGATGAAAATTTAGAAGATTGAAACGCGGAAAAACAAATATATTATCAGGTAGATCTTATAAGCAAATTAGAAATAAAATGGAAAATTACATAATGTACCTACAAAAAAAAGCTAATTCTATTGATGAAGGAAATATCAATTGGATTTGATTTTTACAAATAAAAGAAATTTTATCACAAAGTAAAGCTAATAATCCAGATTATATTACAAATTCTTCAATTATAGATTCTATTTCTGATAATGAAAATTTAATTAATAAAGAAAATGATAGAATTGTTAAAATCAAGAAGAAAAAAAATAAAGTCAATAGAATTGGATGTTTATCTGAAGTAATTGTTGCAATAGGTGAGTTAAAGGATAGGTTTTATAAAAAAACTAGATTTAAAGGAATACGAAATTCAAAAAATTTTGAATTAGAAGAAAAATGATTAATTCAACAATATATATTAGAAAAGAACAAGAAAAGTTATATGCTAAAAATGAAAAAGTTAAATTAGAATTAGAAATATTAAAATTTCAAAAAATAAATAAATAAATAAATAAATAAAATAAAAGCATTTGTTAGGATTATGCTTTTTAATAATTTTTTTGTCTAAATATTTAATGTATAATTATAAAATTTTCATAATCCCAGTTTTGAAGTGTTAGCTTTATACATTCATACAATTTGATATTATCTTTTAAGATGAAAGATGATTTATTTATCGTTCGATTAGTATTGAACAATTTGTCATTATCTTTTGGGATAAAAGATGATTTATTTATTATTTGATTAGTATTGAACAATTAGTCATTATCTTTTGTAACTGAAAGATGATTTATTTTTTTATCATTTAATTCATATTGAATAATCTATTTTTATCTTTTAGACTGAAAGATGATTTATTTATCGTTCAATTAGTATTGAACAATTTGTCATTATCTTTTGGGATAAAAGATGATTTATTTATTATTTGATTAGTATTGAACAATT